TGAATCTATACGTGCAAACTGCAAATGCAGATTTAGTGCTCCACAGTAATTAGTGCTCCATTCATATGTAAGTCAGTGCTCCATTTTGTGCTTTTTCAGGGTGATGCACTTCCCATTTCTGGGCAATGTGTAAGTGGTCTCCAAAGGAACTGGGTTACCTAGAAACATCTGACTGATCCACCCAGTTAAAAGAACTTTTAATTGGTTGTATTTTTATCAGTTGCAGTTGCACATGGCCCAAAACTATATTTCATCATCAAGAATGCTTTCTTGGACTATGCATCCTTGTGCTGTAAGCAGTGATATCCTTAGAGAGGGAAAGGGAAAGCCTTTCAACTGTTTCCTCTCATCAACACTTGATTGAAGTATTTGGACTAAATACAATATTTTAAAGATTCCTGCTACTTTAGTCAATTAAGACTGCACACCTATTGATATTTAGGAGTATCTCTCATTGAACTGAACACAGCATACTTCTTAGCAGATACACATCTTTGCACTGTAAAAGATTTAAAGGGTCGGGGTGGGGAATAGAACCCAGTTAAAATTGCTTAGATGTTGTAGCCCAAATTAAAATGTTTGACATTGCCCTGGAAGATGGTCATTTTCAGGCTTTGGAGAATGTCCAGTAACTGAAGCAGTTACTGTCTCCCAGAGTGGCCCTGCAGAAAGTCAATTGCAGCTGTCTAGCCTGAACTTTACAAAGGAGAAATGACAGTTCCTAGGTCTGTATCTAAATCTAGCAGAACTCTCCTAATTCCTATTTAGACATTGTTAAGTTCAACATTCATCTGAAGTATTTTTGGAACCAGATCCTCATTTAGAGGGATCTGCCTTCTCTGGCACTGTTCCACCCACAGCTGCTCCTACACACATGCAGATAACCACAGCCTTTTCTCCAAGTGAAAGGAAGAACGAATGAACACTGCAGCTCTTAGAAGCAATCATCCATCTCCGGCTTTGCCTGTGGGGGGAGCCGGCTAAGGGCCTCAAGTGTCAAGAAAACCAGCAGCTTCCTGGTCCTCAGAAGGTCCTGCCAGACCCTTTAAGACACGGGTCCTCAAACTATGGCCCATGGGCTGGATCCGGCCCGCCACAGCTTGCCATGTGTGTGCAGGCATGCACACATATGTGGTAAGGTGCTGGCCTGCTCGCAAGGAGAGAGTTTTGGACTCGTTGGGAGAAAATGATCTCTGCCCACGCATGCTCCTGCCTTTCTGCGCGTGCGCGCCCACCCCGGACCTCATCCCCCACCTGCACCGCCTTGGTGGCCCGCACCCATCCCTGGCACCTTTCAACTGCCCCCTATTCAAAAAGTTTGAGGACCCCTGCTTTAAAGCTTAGAGCGGTGGGGAGGGGGAATCTAACTGATTTGTCCCCTGCATCCTTGATCCAGATGTCCAATTAGCCACCCTGCCCTCCCCTGCCAACTGTAATTTCATCCTTTTTTTCACTCCAGCATTGGCCTGGATGACCAAGAGACCAGAGGAAGCAAAACTGTCCCCTTTTCACCACTGAGGACCTTTTAAAAGAAACCTGTAGTTAACCTCTGTGCTGCTGTTCTGGCTCTGCTCCCTGCCCTCTTTCACTTGTATTCCTCTTCTCCAGTCTATTCAAATGCTGCCCCTGAGAGTCTGCTTTATCTGCTGGGTACCAGAGTCTGATGAGGGATTCTGCTGGTGTACTACCCGCTCAGCTGCCCTTCAGCCCCCTGGCCCGAGCTGATGCAGGCTGTCTCCGATTTGGTGTTGAAGACCCTGGAATGATGGTTCTGGGGGATCTCAACTTCGGTGCCAAGGATCCAGGGTGGCTTAGGACTTCATGAGGTTTTTTCAACCCCATATCATTGGCCAAACACATTTAAGAGGACACACTCTGGATGTCGTGGTCTTGGCTGGGCAGGACTACAGTGGCCTGAAAGGGAAGGCATTAACATCGGCCCCATTGTGATGACTGTACAACTTCCTCCTACTGATTCTCAGCAGCCTCTCCCCTCTGCAAGGGTGGGGGACATATTAAAAAGGTTCCTCGCAGAGATTAATGGCTTGCAGAGAGTTCTGGGGGGTTTCCTGCTGGCATGGCTGGTGCTCCTGTAGAAGTTGCGCTCACTCTGTGGAATACCAAGATGACTCAGGAAGGGTGGGTTGTAAAGGGTCAGGTGGAGTCTCGGCACTCACCCCCAACAACCAGAAACCTTTGTGGCAAGCCCTGTCTGGGCCTGAGGGCCAAATTCTACCCTGGGAAAAATTTTGGTAGCTGCATTTAATCTTTGGGTGCAGTCAAAGGCTACATGGGTGAGACCAAAACACAATGATGGAGCATAAGCCTACTCAGAAGTAAGCAGAACAAGGCTTTTGCATGTTTAGGCAAAAGGAAGCAAGACTGAATCACTCAAACACTTTCAAATAGCACCCCAAATTCAAAGCATCTGCTTATCTATTTGCACTTAAGTTAGTCAAACCTTTGCAGGACAGGCCTCCGCAGTAAGCAGGACTGAATCACTGTCCAGCCTCCCTCCCGCTCAGGCTCCTCCCTCCCCCTTCTGTAGGGAGATCAGCAGCTGATCAGAGAGAAGAGCTTTTCCCAGCTGCACTGCACGACAAAGACTCTCTTCCTCATTGTTCAGAGGAGAAAAGGTCCTTTCCTCCAATCAGCTGCTGACTGGAGAAAAGAGCTTTTCTTTTCTGGGAGAAGGAGTGAGCCCTGGATGAAAAGCTGGAAGGCTAGACTGGGAAACACGGCTCCTGGCTCATGTACATGGCTTAGGGGCTGAAGGTTCCCCATCTCTGTTCTAGTGTTTTCAAAAACATTGCTTTGCTTTACTGGCAACTGTGCAGAAACTTCTTAAAGAGGTCTCTACACCATCCAGCAGGCCTCACATATGCAGAGGTTCATCCTATGAACTGGTGGGATGCAATCCACGTAAAAAAAAAAAGGTCTTTCTCATGGATTGCAGCAAAAGCATGTGATAGGGAAGCATAACTAACTTGTGCGTTCGTTCCCCCTTCTTTACAACATCCAAAGTCATTTCAATTTGTCACCTTGGTCCTGGTTTGGATAAAATGTATTTAATTTGATAGAACTTATATCTGACTCATTTTCATTTTATAAGCAGTAGCATCAGTGTCCTACAGAAATTGTCAATTCTTTTCTGATGCAGTTTTTCAAATGCTGGACAACCAACTATCATCACTGATTTGGTAAAGAACTCTGCCTCTGGACTATAGTTGGGCAAGATTTTTACATTTGTTTTAGTTCTGGTTTTAAATTATGCATGGTAATCTTTTCATTCTGCTCTTATCGCTGTTTTCATTTCATACACATACTTTTTATGTGTAGTAAATTGCCCAGAGAGTTGCAGCAATTGGGAAGTACAGATATTAAGTACATACATAGATAGAATCTCTTCCTTGTGTTGCAGCTGCTCATGGGCATTCCAGGTGGTCCTCACATGACAGCTGTAACATGGGACGGAAACAGACTGAGACGGAGACTGAACATTAAATGTCCTGGCTGATTGCCCCTCCGATTGAAGGCTCCTGGTTCAGAGAGGTTTAGAGCAAACCTGCCCTGTCAGAAGCAGCCTGCCCTGGGCCACATGCAAATCCTCACTAGGCCTCAGTCATGAGACTCCTCGCCCCTTTTCCTTCAGCAGCAGACACCAAGCACATGAATATGGCCTCCATGCCACATGCTGGGTGTGTGTCTGTGCATGAGGAGAATTTGATTCCAGGGCTATATATGAATCAGCCTCACTAAGCCAAACAGTCCCCAGCTTTGCTCTTGAGCTTGGGATCAGTCCCGTCAGAGCCTCCCACAATGCCCCTTCCTCATGCTTCAGAACATAAGACACAGGCCTGGGGTGCATTCACATAGGCCAGAATGAGTGATACAGAAATCATGCAGAATTTGGTACTTGGAAAGACCTTCTGTATAGATCTTGTCAAGGTTGTATGAAAGCAAGTCGGGAGCCACTGAGGACAAGAGCTTGTTGCGAATGTTTGCAGGCATCAGGTAGAAACGGCCAATTGCTGCGGGGAAGGCCACTCACTCCCTGGGGCAGAGACTGCCAAAGAGTGAGGCAACCTATGCCTGGATTTCATCTTAGAGTTGTCTCAGAGCTGTGAAGCCAGAAGTCCTTTGTTTAAGGAAGCAGATCAGGACAGGCACTTCTTGGCTCGCTGGAGCCCCACCGAAGAGCAGAAACTCCTACGCTCCCACCCCCAACCCTCCGCTGTCTCTGCCTGGCAGTAAACATAACCTAGTCTCAAGGTGTACAGAAGATAGTAAGGCTGTGGGATATGCCCAGGACATCATTTGTGCTGCAGACCTCAACTCTCCCTGCAGGGAAGACATAACACAGCCTCATATTTGGAAGATGTCAGCTGGGCAGGGGGTTGAGACTGGCACAGGCAAATCCCAGCACCCAGGGTTCCCCACATCTCTGCTGCTCCCTCTGATCTGAAGTGAGGTGAAACCCTCTGAAAGGATTCCCCCTGGAGGAGCCCAAGAGGCAGTGCAGGCTGCAGACTGGAGGTTCTGATTCCTGGCCTGCACTCAGGAGTGGGGAGAGTTCTGCAAACAGGGTTGAGCTGATAATGGGCTTGACAAATCACAGTGTGAAGCTAGAAGGAAGGGGCTTCTTAGTTAGGTCTGGACCAAGGGGGGCATAGGAAGGGCGAACGATCAGCTCTGTGCCTAGAGCGGCAGGCAGGGAGGGGATCTACCAGTCTGTCCCCAAACTGTGCTCTTTAGATGATTGACAGCCATGCATCCAAGGGCACCAAGTTGGAAAAGCCTGGGCTTCATCTATGGGCTTGCGGTAAGGTGGGCATTGGGACAAGGTAGCATTTACATGACTGTTGATTTGGCTGCAGGGGTGCAAGCAGGTTGCAGGGAAACTAAAAGTGAAGAGACAGCCTTCTTGGGAGAAGTCTGTAGAAATACTGGCCCATTGCAGGGGCTGGTAGGGGCTGTGTAGCTGGGGAAAGGCTCAGTACCATCATGGTTGCGATCCAGGCTATGAAACATCAGCAGCAGTTTGCGTTCACGCTCTTGGAGATAGCGGGCAAATTCCTCAAAGTTAAGTTCACCATCTTGGTCTGTATCGCCATCGCGGAGGATATCCTGCGGGCAGCAGAAGAATGAGGTGGGGTTTAGAAAGCACTCATTGTCGAACTGCCATTCAGAAAAACAGTAACCACCATTTCAGAACATGTGCACAAGAAAGTCAGCCTTCCAGTTCGGTTCATGGATCACAAAATCCACCCTCCTTCTTGCAACAGAGATGTTTACAGCACAGGTACCTGAGGGAGTCTGAGTTTGGGGAGTACACTGTGCACTTCATTGCAGTGACATACAGATACCAACATGCACATGCCCAAGTGTTTTATTGCGTTTCTGAGCAATTTGGCACAATGGCATTGACCATACATTGCACCTATATAGCACTTTAGATGAAGGGCGGGGAAACTCAGGCCCTGGGGACAAATGAGTCCCTCTGGAGTATGTCAGATGCTTATATTGCCTCTCCTTTCAACCTCCTCTTCCCTCTGACCACTAATCTGTTAGTGGTTTCCTGGCTTTAGTGGTTTGTCCTGGTTCCCTCCCCGCTGCCACCATTCTGAAAGGCTAAAACGTTTCTGCTATAATCCACACAACAAACCTGCAAGGTAGACCAGTGCTGTAATGGCTTCCTTAAACTTACTGAGTAGTTCCACGGTAGATTTGAACCAGAGTCGTCTTAGCATTGTCACTGGAACAATACCCCACACCAGCTTTTCGTCAATGGATGCAAAAGAGTTTTAGTGAGAGGCTCTCTATACAAAATGTTGGGTGAGAACTTTTCTTCCTGACATGCTAACTTCCTAAGCAGGAAGACATGCTTTTGTACAGAGGACCCTCCCCAGGCAAGTTCTCACCTGCAGTCCAGCCCAGACAGAATTTTTCTGCCTCTATGAGAATTTTGCTTTGGCTACCGAGCATGAGTGACTGTAGGTTTCTCTAGGGTATTACATAACTTTCGTAGGAGTTTAAATGCTGCTGTTCTCACTGGAAGGGTTTAAATCAAGGTAGGGCAGACTTCAAGCCTGGGAGAAACTATTTTGTTTTGTTACTAGTACCTTGAGTTCCAACAAAGTCAGGTACACAACAGTGTCTGAGAGGGATGCTCAGTGCTAAGGGTGTCTCTGAACACATGCTCTGTCTAGGAACTGGCGAGCCTTCCAAAATTGGCTTTACCTGTCCATTCACAAAAAACATTCTGAAGATGAGTCTTCCCCCCAGTTTTTCTTTTTCAATAAATGCATGTGAGTTTCTTAGTTATTGTTAAGACAACTAGGAATCAAGAAATCCTTGCCCATGTTCTCCAAATCAAGCAGGAGAGCCCCCTTCTGCTCACCCTGGGTCAAGAGTCCTTTCACTGTCTCCCACTTGGCAGTCAGAGACCCAGATGGGAAGCCTCTGTGGGACAAATTTAGCCGTACCAGCACCAGCTTGCTGACACTCTGTTTAGCATGTTTTCACTTGCCACTTTCAGCTGCAACCTGTTTTTCCATTGCTACTTCATCTCTAAGAGGCTTAAAAGAAACCTGAGCCCCAAAGCCATTTTGCAAGACAAGGCCAAGTAACTGCTTGGCCTTATAGCAAGATATATGAATATGATGATGAGTAACAACAAGGACAGCAACAGCAGTAGCAACATAATATGCTGTTGTTCTGAACACACTTTAATTGTTTTAAGCAGGTCAGAATGTTGCAAGACGCTTTGAACTCACAGCACTATTCAGAATATGTATCTGCTGCAACGGAGGCATGGCAGAGGGCACTGCAGTAACTTCTTCTTCTCCAAAGCTCTGTTCATCTTTGGATTAATGCACAGATGAGGGGGTGGGGCAGGATGAGCACTACCCTCCAATCCCTGCCAATGGATATGTTGGCTTAAATAAGGTGTGAATTCATAAAGTTGCAAAATATTTGCAACTGCCTGGACCAACAAAAGGCACCCTTTTATCTGCTCTGTGGCCCTTAGGACAACAGAGAAGCAGGACAAATACTAATGAGCAGCTATTTGGACTGGGCGAGCAGCAGATTATGCATTCAGTACAGAACCCTCCACCCCCAGCTTGGGTATGAGGAGAAGGAGGGAGGGTATCATATGCTGGGATGCAGGGAAAGCTGACTTCGGGCTGATTGCATTATGCAATCTCAAGCCGAACAGTGAAGCAGAACCCTACACATGAATTAGGAACTATAAACAGGGAGCCATCAGGGTCCAGTTTTTATCATCCAATACCATCCCACAATGTATTAGGCCCTCGATGCAATGTATATCTTCCCTACAATACATACATATTGTCTGCCTACTGACTTCTTGGATTCTAGTTTTTCCTATAATAGCTGCAACATGCTGGATGCTAACCCTTTCAGTTCTTTCCTCTGCGGATCCTGCCTCCTCATTTTTCTCTGCTGCTTCTCTTTCAGCTGGTCTCTATCTTTCACCAGCTGCCACAAGCAGCTCTGTCTCCTCTTTAATATTCAGTGTCTTATTCTTTTAGGCAGTTTGACCCAAAAGATACCAAGTGATAATGCAAATGATAAATCCCAAGAGTAGGTGTAAAGCCCATACCAACTAATAGCAAACTCTGGTAATTGTCAGGGGCCCCCAAAGCAGCAACGAGCCCCTCACCACAATGTATCACCATCTTAACTTTGAACCAAGCATCCAAGGCAGCCAAGGGCAAGCTAGGCATTTTAGTCTAACACCTCTGGAGGATACCAGTTTGGGGAATGCTAGACTAAATTATCTGCTGGCCTCCTCCAAACCTACAATTTCTACAGTTTATAAAATTGGGCTCCTTTAAGAAACACTGACTTTGCTCAGGTGGGTCAAGGGCTGGTTCCAAAGGGGAAAACCAGGGAATTCAATTTTGGAAGGAGGCCTCTGCCCCCAGAACTCAAAGACACAGAATCCAAGTCACCTCCCTTTTTGATCTGGGAAGAGGCCCCAGGAGTCCCCAGTCCCACCTCTTCCTGCTCTAACAGCAGGCCCGTGTCGCACACACTTCTAGGATGCTCACATGGCTGGCCAGAACAGGAAGGGGAGCCAGGCGAGCTTAAGGAATGTAAACACAGAAGTATGAAAATAGCCCAGTGCCACATGGGTTGAGCAGACTGCAGGGTTTAAAGTCATCCTTAGAAAAATGTTTTAAATCAACATGCACATTTGCACCAGGTAGCTACTGAGAAGAGATACAAACTGGAGACCACACCCACTGGGGCACATGAGAGAAGTGTGCAATTCCATGAGATAAACCGATGAAGTAGGTAATGCTACAATGGCATGAAAACCAGAACCCAAAAATATGGCACAAATGTGGATGGGGTCATTTTGGAAGTATCCCAATCTGCGGGCATTTTGACCAAGAGAACCTTGCAGGCTGGTGCTTAAGGCCACGGGTCTGAGGATCACCACCATCAGAACCTGCCGTGAAGATGGGAAGGGAGGCGGTGCGGCCAAATCACACAGAACCCAACAGCGGCCTGAGGCAGACGCACAGCTGTGATGCAGGTCACAGCAGCTGATCTACAAGTCAGGAAGGCTTGGCAGCTTCCTTTTTAACACTGTCCTAGCAAAACACTCTTGTGGACAGAGCTCTCCACAAAGGTGCTGGGAGCAGTGGAGTAGCTTCCCTGTGCTAACTTTGGATAGGAGTTCATTTGGATACTAGAACAGCACTGCAATCTACACCTACCGGAGAGTCAGTTTTCCTAGGAAAACTTACTTTTGAAAAACGTGGAGCAGGATTCAATCTGTAAGTGAGCCAGCCTTGTATTTCAGCACTGGTCTGATAGCCACAAGGGACCATGGCCTGTATGTGAGTGAATTAGCTGGCTGCAGAAGGAAGAACAGCAATTTCATCTCCCTCTGTTTTTAATGTAGAAATTAAGCAGGATGCTAGAATAAGGGTGGGCGGAAACGTGACCTCCGAGCATTTGGGAGCTTCCTCTCCCATCAGTCCACACCAGCACAGTCAATGGTCAGGAATGCTGAGAGCTGATGTCAAAAACGTCCGAGGACCTTTCTGCTCATCCCAGTAGAACAGGAGGGAAGCCACCTCTTCTGTGCCTGGTACAGAAAGGCAGCTTGCCATCTTTACCAGTCCCCAGCAGGTTAGTGAACATTGTTGTGGGCTAGCAAGTTTGTGGGGCCATTTGCATACCAAGGCCAGCCAACTCATGCAAAACCAGCATGGTGCAAGCATCTGCCTGAATAACAGGTGTCCTGCTCCCCTTCCCAGCAGAGCTTCTGTACTGTATCAATAGCACCACTGGGTGGGAGCAAGGGAAGAGGATGCTGGGGGAGGGCAACTCCGGAGAGTGCAGCTACGGGAGAACCCAACTGGTACAGTCCAGTTCTTTAGGTGAATCCATAAACCAAGTGGTCACACCAACTAGGGCAGATAGAGTCACTAAAGTTTCCATCAGTTTCTATAGTAGGGATGGGAGACTCTATATGTTGCTGTTCATGAACATCTGGAAGGCCAAAAGTTCCTCATTCTTGCTCTGTAGCCATGTCTTATACAACAGGTTAGGCAGCTTGTGGCCTTCCAGGTGTTTTGACCGACATCTTCCATCAGTCATAGTTAGCATAGCCAAATGCAAGAGATAATGGATACTGTAGATCAAGCGAAGCTGCCATTCCTGTTTTATACAAGCCTACTAGATATGAGACAAATGAATGGGCACTCCTTAATAGCATTTTATTGAAATATGGTCAGTGAGAAGCATGTGCTTAACCTCCCAGTCAGGCTCTAAGAACTCAAAATGTTATTCCCACAGGCTAATTGTTGCAGATCAAGCCAGAATTAAAAGGCAATGTGGTTTGGGTTAGCTTGACAACACTTGCAGCCGGGCATGAGACCCTGCTTGAAAAGCACAGTTTTGGCCCAGAGAGCAGCAACTGGCTACTCTCTCTCAAGGCTGTTTGCAGCCCTTGTTATAAGAAGAGTTTTAGCCTATTATCCTGGTTCTCTGCCCACCCCAGCCAATTCTTACTTCTGTGCAATACAGAATCTGGACAAAAGGCTATTTCTACTATTTTACTTTGGAAAGTAAATGCTATGGTG